GGGAAAAAAAAAAAAAAAAAAAAAAACAAATATCGTACTCTGACATGTTCACGTTTTCTTCGGCTCTGTAAGGTGTGGTATGACTGAGTCTTTTTTGTTGCGAATAAAAAGAAAAACCATCAGACTGCGCCTTCTTATGCACGCACTATACGTGAGATGTGTATAAATATTAAAGATAGAGAAACGTAAAAAAGAATTTGAAAAATCGGAACAAATTGATTGCTCATTAATTTTAATATCGATCTCATTTGTAAATATTAAATAGAATTCTCAATAACGTCCGTGGATCATTATTCTATACATCGGAAGTTCGGAATCTCTCTTTCTCTCTCTCTCTCTCTATCTCTCTCTCGGAATCCAAATGTGCGATTGATTTCCATCGGTCATTAAATGAAAAAAAAAAAAAAAAAATTTTACCATGTGATATATATACTGATTTGTCATTTTTCACGCTAAACCGATAACGGTATTTTAATATAATTTGTTTTTTAGCTTTTTTTTTTGGGTAGGGTATCGTATCTTTGAGACTGCTTGTGTAAATGAAACGATGTAAACTAATTTTTAGGCGGCTTTTGATGTTACCTTCGTTTACTCTTGTAAATTTTAAAACGAGCGAAGTCGACGAAATTCGTTTCAAGCAATGGAAGTTAATTTTCTGAACATTTCTGAAACATCGATAGTGAGATTTCAAACAGTGAGGGGGGGAAAAGTATTCGTCATTTTTTTTCTTCTTTTTTTTTTCTTTCTTGGCGTTCTATGTTAAAACGAGGGTAGCAGAGATGTGAGCAGGCGTGAGAAATGTTTAATTCCTATTTTATTATAACGAAATGCATATATCGAGCAAAAGTATAATTGTGACCTAAGTGTACAAATAAACAGATTGGTCGGTTCTCGTTGCGCTAGACTCTACGGGGGAAGAAAAAGAGTGCAAACTGAGTAATGGATATAAAAAAGAAAAAAGAAAAAAAAAAAAAGAAACTTGGTGGAGTAATTACTAGAATATTTAAGGAGAATACGAATCATATGCGTTCGTTGTTTTAAATGCATATGAAAGTGCAGTGTACTTGTGTGTATTTAGGAAACATGATGGATGAATGTGCCGGCCTAATTCCTCATGCTGTCTCTTGAAGAGTACTTTTTATATTACTGTGCCGATGTCCCTTTACCCGCACTCACTTTTCCAATGGTCTTGTTAAATTGTCCCCACCAGACACCGATTCCGTAGTTTCCAAGCCTCCACCACCACCACCACCATCCACCATCCACCCTTACACAATTTTGCTTTGTAAAACATGTTCATAATAAAAAAAGAAATACAAGGTATTTAATCGAAATCGACTTACTTTATTTCATATGTGATATTTTTAATTGTGTTAATAAACGAAACTTCGATGGAACATGTTTTTGTATTAATTCTTGTATATTCATGATACAGTAGTTTGGCTTTGAGGCGTAAAAGACTTAAAGTTTATCTTTAAACTTTTACAAAATTTTGTACCATTTATGATTTTCTCGCTCTTATTCGCACTGTAAGTGCGAGCCTGTAAGATCAATTTCTTAAACGCAAGATGTTAAGTTTTATTTTCAAAAAAATATATCTTCCAACTTTCTAAGGATTAAAAAAATATAATACTTTATTATTCGAAAATATAATACTTTATTATTTTTTATTATTATAATACTTTATTATTATTTTATTAATCTTTATGCATAATTTAGTTTACAAATATAAATCTTGTACTATATGTTAATTCATTTTGCAATAAAAGTTTACAAACAATATGTTTGATTCAAGCAATCTCACGATTACTTTGGTTTTCATTATGAATGATAATGATTGTAATATAATAATAGTTCTAAAATGAAGTTATAATAGTTCTATCAAAAAAGTTATACATTGGATATAATTTGCAGAAATGTAATGACATCTTTTAACTAAACTCTTAAACTAAATGTAAATATTATTGAATAGAATTTGCAATCGTTTATATGGGTTGACTGAAACATAAGAGAAAAGGCTTTGGGTCTGAAACGTGGAGCAGCAAATTACAAATTACAGAAGTTCACAAATCAATCGTTTTAATTAATTTTTTTGCAAATGGAAATTTGCTCGATTAAATTTGTACTGAATTACTTCGCCGCCTAGCGACGAAACACTGGAACTAACCATTATTTATATCCTTGTCGTTCTTTTGTACGAAGGTGCTGCCATCTATACGAGTTTTGATCGGGTAGTTTTTGAAAACGTGACTAGAATATGCTATGTGCTGCCATCTGTCGAAAGTGATTTAAACAGAAAATTTTGTCAGGACCCGATAGATGGCACCTAACCTGTTTTTTTATGTTTGAAATTTATCGACGCTGTTTGATTAAACATAGATGGCAGCATCGTCGTAGAAAAAGGAACGACAGCGACTAGTTCCACAGATTTGTCGCTACGTGGCGCTAGTATCTCAGTGCCCATAAATCGGGCAATTTTCATTTGCAAAAATAACTAATAAATAAATAAATTTACTAGCCTTTGTAACTGCATCGTCCAAATTAGATCCTGAACTTTTCTTCTTTACATTATTTCACTTATTGCTCACGGGAAATAATTATTTACAAATACCATTAAATAGATCCAATTACAGACAAGGTTTACGATTTATCGTCCATCGATCGAAACATTCACTCGAGTGATGTTTAATTTTTCGCCTAAAACATTTGAAATTTGGCTGGAAATTAGTATTAAATTATTGCTACTATAAAAATTACTATTAAATAATTAGAGGTGAGTATATTTGATTAATTATTATTGCACATCTCGTTGTTACATACAGAATTGGCGTAATGCACTTACATGTAATTTATATTATAGCGAATTAATTTATACGAATTTTTGTTGAATATTAAAGAGAATATTAAAATTTATTACAAACATACTTACTATTCGTAATTATGTGAGTTCTTTGAGCCCCGAGTGATCTACGACTATGCGAGTAATCCGAGTCCCGATTGAACAATTGCAATTACGGGAGACTATAAATATCCAAAATACTATTGTATAACAAATAAAAAGTACTTTACAAAATAATAATACTACCATACTGACTAACGTACTAAAAAATCTATTGCGTATATGTTAAACAGAGATAAGCCATAATCTGTCGTTGCTAGTATCTCTCACAGTTAACATTCTTTTTTCTCTCAAAGTTCAATCACTGACTTTATCAGATGAACGACGACTTTTGCATTGCAGAAGGTTCTAGTATAACTACATGTATATTACTTTTTTCTTGTTTAAAAACTATATTTTATTTCGAGTCTAACGTGCCTCTAATTCTTGTGAAAGTACTGTGACCTTACTGCCACATCAAATCAACCGAGATCGAAAATGACGCGGCAAGAATATCCTCTAGCGCGTCAAGTCACGACACGCAAAAAACGCATAAGGTGGCAGGTCTGTTTCACACTACGTCTATGGTGCACGCCTTAGATCAGACGCATGGCTCCTCCGCGATGGATGTACAACACTGAGGTTGCCCCCGTGGTCGTTTGTGGTTTTCCCCCTCCCCCTCCGTTAATTCCTTTATTTTTTCGTTTGCTCTTTTTTTCTTTTCTTTATTTTTTAGTTGATTTCAAGATGTTATAAGTTTCTGTTCGTTTGTTCGAACTGGCGGAAGATCAGCAAAGGGGTGACTTTTGCACTGAAAATGAAGAACGCAAAAGTCAAAGGGAGGTAATTGATGCTCCGTGCTCGATGGACTTGGGGGGGCTAATTAGAATACTTGTTGCTTCTGCTTGCTCGAAACTGTTTCCATTTTTATCTTTCCTTGCTTGCGCTATGATTGTTGCTGATCGAAGAGATTCGTCCATCGATCGGGAGATTAAAATATTCCATTAATGTTATATTTTATAATCTCGAAAGTAACACGCTTATATTTAACCTAGAAGGTTATTGATTTTCCTTCTCCTCCAACTCTGTACAGTAGATGCCTTTAATATGTTCCATTCACATGGTGTCAAATGTACATTTCTTTTTCTTTCATGATGTTATGCAGCTCTAATTCTTTAAAATTGTTGAGCATACTAAAAATTCAATGATCATTGAGAAATTTAATTTCTTTATCATCATCATCATCATCATTGGAATATTTATATTTACTTTCAGACAATGTTTGGAACAGTTTAATGATCAAGGGGGATATTTTGACGTTGTTGTGAGACCAATGCTGCAACAAGGACATGAAGGGGAATTATGCGGATGGTTAAAAGAAATGAGTTTAATCAGGACTGTCTCTAGTTGTCCACATCCAGATTGCAAAGGCAGAAGTCTAGCTTGGAATCAGGCAAGAATTGTAGACAAATACAGTTGGTCGTGCCCCAATTGTACAAGGAAACAGTCCATCAGAGAGAACTCGTTTTTCGTTGGAGTCAAATGTGACCTGAAAATGTGCCTTCAATTGATATTAGGATGGTGTCAAATGATACCCAGCGAGCTTACTGCCAATTATCTAGGCATGTCTTACTGTGAAAGTCGAGTATTGTAACTTTGAAACACTATAAAAGCTTACATTGTAACTTTGAAACATTGTGCAGAGCAAGAAATTTTATACATGTGATTTGTATTTTGCAGAAATAAAGAAACACGTAGTTAAGAAAGTATATGAGAGATGCGATGAAGTTTCGGAAAATTATGTGACCAGTCATCCAGAGGATTGGGTTCTAGGAGGCCAAAGTGCAATATTAATTGTGGACGAATTTCCTAATGGCTATATGACTGAGAATCCATCTGATATAACTAGTGCTAAGAAACGCAACAACAACTCTCACACAATACTTTGCATAGCGGAAGCGAATACAATACCAACTAGAATGTGGCTTCACATGATTGAAGCATTCCCAGAGGTACAGCTTTTGATTTTACAGAAATTTGGATTTCATATAAAATTAACATTGTTTTTCTTTTTCTTTCATATCGTGATTTATTGTAGCCAGTGAAGATAGATAAATCACAAGGTGATGCTGATAAATGCAAAATGGTCAAAGAGGCATTAAAAGAGATTGCAAAGCATAGTGCTCCTGGTAGTTACATAGTGGCAAACAGTCGAGCTCGTTGTTGTAGTTTTGAATCATTGCAAGAATTGAAACAGTATAAGGTAATTAGCGTGGAGCAGCTCCAGAAGTTTGACCCACCAGGGAAAAACAAACTTCTTAATAATTTAGGTATGTATGTTGCTTGTTGCTTGTTTGTATTATTGCGTGTTCCAATTTATTTATTTATATTGAATTGAATATTAAGAAACGATTTGGCAAACTGGCGTCGAGATTTGTGAAGAAATTCAAGAAACTACGCACACTCTAGGACAGCGTATAATATCGAAACATTTGTGGAGACAAAGATTTGGTACGTCTCCTTCTACCGCATTTCAATACATGCTTAATCATATCGCAGAATATTATCGTTTTATTTAAACTAACTCGTTACAGTATTCTCGCTAATTTTAGCATATTTTTATACCATGAAAAGCAATATCGAATGCTAGTGAGTAATTTCTTTTTAAACGGTATGATTTCGTTAAAGTAACACTCTAAATCGAATTAGGACATCGTGACTTGGAATATTAATTACCAATTCAGTTGACTCCTTGTATATTCTCTGAAACGCGCAAATTGCACAAACGGCCTTGTTAGATTTAAAAAGTAATGTATATATATAGATATATATTGTAAAAAATATTTTCGTATAAATAAGGATATCACGAATTAATGTTTCATTGAAACACGCACTTTGTGTCTTCCAAATATCAAAAATATTCATAATTTTTTATCATGAATGTATATGATAATTGTTGATAAGTTAGAGTTAGGACATTATGAGAGATAATTTGTTAATGCACACACGAAATATATTTTTCACTTTATATTATCAAGTTTTTAATGAATCTAAATCAGCGGACTAGTTGTTGAAAGACTGATGGTGATATTGATACGATATCGGACTATTAATAAATCATAATAAACTAAAAATTACGAAATGATTTCAAATACTCAAGAAGGTATCGCTAAAACATCAATTTATGATTGAAATTTTGAAAATGTTTCATTCAATCGCCTTCTGGAAAATTCAATTAATTTAAAATATATAATACCATATTTAAATTAGAAATAAATATACAAGTCTGCAAGCAACAAATTAATTTGTATTCTGCTATTAACAACACTTATTGAAATGCTTATTGAAAAAGTAGAATTTTATCCAAAGTTTTACACCAGTATTATTCTGAATAATCACCTTTATAATATAAGTTAAGAGCACGTTGATATTTTGTTCTAATTTTAGTCGGTTTTCCTAACTTTAATTGACATCATAGACTCAGTGGCATACTCTAGCAATTATATGTCAGTTTGTGAAAAAACCGACTTTGTGATATGGAATTGTTAGTTTTCTTCAATTCACAAATTATATCAGTAAAAAAGGAATAAAGTATCAAGGTTGTCAAATTTTTGAGAAGTTTTTCGCGAATAATGTGATAATGACGTTACTTCGTGTGGGAGATAATATATTGCAAGTTGAGAAGATAAGAAAATTATTTTATAAGTTGATATAGAATTTAATGCACTATATACTGTGGTTAAGATTTTTATTCCTATATAATTTATAGTGTATCGTTTTATAATCAAACTCGTCGATATTAGAAAACGAAACTTCTGCATTGAAAAGCTGAAAAAATATTCAATATTTTTATAATATTCATCATCTAGCAATATTGTTATAATTGTAAGGTGTTTTGTACCAAATTATAACACATTCGAAGCCACATTTAAATACCAAATAAAACAATATTATTTCATATATCACGTTTATTCTATGTTTGGAATAAGAAAATTCTATAAATGTTTTTATGTATATTTTTATTTACAACAAATAAAGATAAAGAGTAAAATAGATAACAAAAATATGTTTCATTAATTGTGTACATAAAATATATTTAATTAGTGAAAAAATTATGTAAGAAGTAGCGCATTGCTTTTCTTTATTCATTTGTGAGATTCTGTATAATTTTCCAATATTTTTTGTTTCATTCACGTCCATTAATATAGCGTTAATAATCATAGACGCTTGTAATGGCAGTTATAAAAATTCTTCGCTCATAATGTCTCTGTAATCTTTCTGATCTTGTACCATTCTTCGAAATACTCGATATTTCTGAAGATGATATCTTGAAGAAAAAAAAAAAAGAAAAAGAAAATGTGTATTATAACTTTCAAATATTTCAACAATCTCTTAATCTGATTTGCTTACTTGTAGCATTCGTTCTTCGGTTTGATAACATTTGCAGATCCTCCCATTGTTTGTATGGCGTCGTATATTGTATTAAATTTCCCAGCTGCGTAAGACCCGAGAATCGCAGCGCCTATTAGCACTGATTCCTTTTCGACGGGGCATAATACGGGTAAACCTAACACATCTGCTTGTATTTGAATAAATAATGGATTCTGACTCAAACCGCCGCAAATTAACAAAGTGTCTATTCTATGACCGGCAGCTTCCAACGTTTCCAAAATATATCTTGTACCATACTGTTAAAGAAACATTGAGTTTAATTTTTTGTATAAAAAAGAAAAAGTACAGGAAAGTGATTGATATGATATATTCGTACCGTTAAGGCTTGTACAGTTGCCAAGTATAATAGTGCCAAGTTTTCTTGATCGACGGACAGAGAGAGTCCTGAAATCTGTGTAATGATATTCAATTGAAATACCTGTTACAAAAATTATACAGTTCTTAGATTAATAATGAAATTACGTTATTACCATGCCTTTGAGAGTCGGATCAGCTAAAGGGGATCGATTTCCGTGAAAATCAGGCCATACATGAATATCTTTCGTTAAGTACGAGACGTCTTTCAAAGCCTTCTGATCAGTCATCGTTTGCAACAATTCGGACAAATATTGCTGTATATGTCTAAAAGATTTACGTAACAAATAAAAACAAAGTTTAAACAGACGCACCCAAGTCATTTTAACCTACTTATTGCCGCTTAAGCTTTTCAAAATCCCTGGTGTTGCGGGATGAGTGTCGATTATGTGATCGAGCAATTTTCCAGTTGCACTTTGTCCTCCTTCGCTCAACCACAATCCTGGAACCATGGCACTGAAATATGGTCCCCAGACGCCGCTGACGAAAAGTTTCTTCTCATTAACTATCATGTGGCAAGTCGAAGTGCCACAAATTAGTGCTGTAAATCAAATTAATTAATTAAAAAGATTGGAATGTACAAGCAGCGGAAAAAATGTAATATGTAATAGGAAAATTCACGTATACCTAATCTGCTTTGTAAATTAGGAAATATCCCAGGTATAGAACAACCTATCATACCAAGCCCTCCAGCATGTGCATCAATCAGGGATGTTCCCACAGCTGTTCCTTTTTGGAGTCCTAACTCAGATGCAGCTTTTGCCGACAATCCTTGGTCGACAGGATCGCCCGGAGTCCTCACATCATTACCTTCGTATTAATATTTCTCTTTGTTAAAATAAAGTAATAGTTTCATATTATCTGTCTAAACACAAAAGAGATTTGTTAACGTGTTTACTCAAAAGCTACACGATTCAAACGAAATAACTTTCATTCAATATAATCAATTTATGTTTAGCTAATAAACTGAACATTATATAGAATTATTAATAATACCTATTTTCCTCCAGTTATCCTTCTTAAGATCTCTCAACTGAATTTGATCAAAGAATTCCTCGTTCCATTTATTGTTACCATCGGGGTCAGCGCTGTAATTCCACTTGCACACTAAAGAGCATAGAGATCTGAAATTAGATTGGAAAGTTGTAGCAGAGTATAAAATAATGCATAACAATTAGTATAAAATAATGTAACAATGTTACCTTGATTCAGAATCTGTAGCCTTCCATGTCAAAAAATCGGGTAGATCAAATAGCAGTGCTGCACGATTCCAAGATGAGGGTAGATTTTTTTTAAGCCACAACATTTTAGGTGTTTGCATTTCTAATGACACTTTTCCGCCTACATATTGAAGCATTTCGTGACCTTGTGCATTTATGAAATCTGCTTCTTCCTGTGCTCTGTGATCCATCCATAATATAACATTCTGTTTATCCTCACCTAAGGAATGAAAATTCATTTGATAAACAAAGTTTTCACTTAATTAACTACAACTTGTAAATATACCTGTTGGACTAACTGTGACTGGTGATCCTGTTTTATCAATTGCTACTAATGAACAAGTAGCATCAAAGCCAATGCCCTTTACATTATCTGCAGAGATATCGGCCACAACAGTCTATGAATAAGAATAAATAAATTATGTGTGTGCAAATATTTCAGTTTATCATCAAGGAATACAGGCTGATTCATTTTCTACCTTCACTACATGGCAGACTGCACTCCAAATGTTATCAGATGACTGCTCATAAAAATTAGGGGCAGGGTGAAAAATTTCAAGTGGGCACGTTGTCATTTTCACTATCTTTCCCTTGGAAGATACTAAAGCAGCTCGGACACTTCCTGTTCCTACATCAACACCCACAAAGTAATCCATGTTTATATTGCTTGGACGTATTCCTTAAGTTTTCGCTAAGAGAATTCAACTGAATGTTTTGCGTCAACTAAAATCATTGTGAGCTGCAAATAAGAGTATGTAAGTATTATCATAAAGCTTAACTGTAATCAGAGACTTATTTTTTAATCTCACATGACCCTGAGATAACTTCTGCCGCAATAAGAAACAGTGAAGTAATGGCAATACAATAACTTATTGCTGTATGTTTCTTCAACTCTATTTCACGCATAAAACGAAAGAACGATTAATCAATTAAATTACTTTCCATGAAATAAATTGCTTGAGATTAGGTCTAAAGAATTTAAATGATAGAACATATGCTGCATTAAAACATATAGCCCCGAAAAAGTAACGTTACAAACGAAATGCTTAATTACGTAAGTATGCGCGATGAGTAGTACGTAGTACACGTAAACTCGCATATGTAAACACGTGTACATGAAAAATTCTAGGTGCGTTATCTCGTTTAATCATTATATGTACTACCTCGCAACGTGGTCTTTGGTTTCTTCGAATGTTCTACATAAGGTTCCATTAGATTTTTCGATAATTAATTAAAAAATAAAGATGCTAATCGCTAGGAAGAATCCAAAATGAGAAATAAAAGATTATATTGCTGGAAAACAGCATCGAAAATATGGTATACATTGCACGTACGCACGTGTACAACTGCGTTTGACAGCGCAGCGACCTAGTATTACCTTGCCTATCGAACAAGATTAAAGCACGTGGTAACATTTGGAATGCTACAAATTTGTTAAAACGTACAGTTTATCAATTGTTAAATCAACGTACATCTACTAATGATGTATATGTGTGTTATTAATACACATGTTGCGTGTGATTAATATTTTCTTGTCGTTTTTTATAGGAAATCATATTTTGATACATATAACCTACAAATATGGTTCGATTTAAAAACAGGTAGGTTCAGTAATAGATAAATCATCATTGTTATACTATTTATTCATTTACTTTATTACATATTTTATTATTGTTTCTATGTATATTTGTAGATATATAGCATTTGAAATAACCTTTGGTGATAAATCTAAGAAGCCTGTGCAATTAAAAGCTACAACTTTGCACAATGCTATTCAGCAGAAAGTGCAACGATTGTACGGCGATTTTGGAGTTGCAGCGACAAAAGCTGGATTCAGTGGTAATATAAAATTTCAGTTTTATGTAGCAAAAAAATTAAAACCGAAGTAAACATATATAATTCGTTTTTCAGCAAAATATTGCAATATACATACAAAAATTGCAATAGTAAAATGTAGACATGGTCCCCACAAATTTTTATTAAATGCCATTCCAGTTATTAACGACATTGCAGGGCGCTTGGTATCTGTGAAAATACTTTACGTGGGTGCGACAATGAAACATTGTTTTCTTTTTATCAAAGTAAGTAAGCAAGTCAAATTATACAAGCACATCCGCATTACAAGATGTGACATTAAATGTACATTTTTCAGAAATTCCAACAACAAAAGCTTGAACAAGTATGGAACACTCTTAAGACTGAAACTGAACGAAAAAATATGAAGGATGCTTTAATGACTCTAACGCCAGCTATGAAAGATTGTACATAAAATGTTTGTACTTTTGCAAAGTATATTTTAATCTAATATAAATAGAGGTTATATCATAAATTTGGTAAATGAATTTTTGGAATTCCTTTTATTCCAAATATGTACGTAATAATGTAATTTTAATTAATCTTAATTTTACAGCAAATTGTATTTTATCTGTTCTTAAAGTACAGAAATTATGTAAATTTTACAAGTAAATTTTTGGAATACATTTCATTCCAAATATTGTGTACATAATAATATGATTAAATAATATGACATCAATCCTTTGTAGCAGATTGTATTTTCACCTGTTCCAAAATTATATAAATTTAACAAATGAATTTCTTGAATACATGTACCATGTACATAATATCAAATATAATACGATCAAATATAATTTCATATGATCCATTTGCAGCGGATTGTGTTTCCACCTATTCCGCCGTTCCGCCATTCGCGTGGAAAAGCGCGCGAAAATTTCAAATTTTCAACCACCAATTCGTCGCGCGTTCCACTATTCCAACGTGTTTTGACTGCAAGGTTACCAGTCGATGAAGGGTGCGCGCAGGGGTCGTTGCTGGCCGTCGCCAGTTGTCGCTGGTTGTTGCTGGAGTGTCGGTCGCTCTCCTGTTCCACGGCACAAAGTGACGGTGGCTCGAACGAACATAACTGGGCAGTCAATCGGCGAAGGTGCTCTAACCAAAGTGGTGCGGTGGTTGTGTTAGAAGCCAGTTACGAACCAACAGCAGAAGTTGTAAATTGCTTCGTCTAGTTACCTCGCGGAATCGCGCATAATAATCTCCCGCGAACGAAGTAAACGAAAGATACGTACGTACGCCGCACGCTGTCTTATTTATTACGATTGTCTATCAAACGATCGCTCCGTTTGTTCAGAGGAGTCGAATGTTTCGCGAAACGACGACGAGTCAAATCGAAACCGGCACGCCTCGGCACTAACCGGTGCCTGTAAATAAATCGTAACTCGTAAATAAATGTGCCACGCATCGAAATCAACGAGGAAGCATCAACAAGAAGGACAATAGCAGCGTCTTCTCGCGTTTCTGAACGAGGATCAAGTGCTTGCGTGCTCGAGGTAAGGAAAGAGGCAGTGGCCCTTCTTCTCGTTATAGGTTATCGATTTCGTTTCGTTTCCGTGCCGTTCAAAGGGGATGCACGTTGGGAATCACGTTATAATTATATACGATACAGAATCCATCCGGTTCTTGTTCGCTTTCCTTTTGTTTGCATTTTAACTGGCTATCGGATCTTCTCGGAGGAGAGTATGCTTTTCCGTTTGGTTAAATGGAATCGATCGATTCGCGAAGTTAGTGGTGTCGCACCCTTTGGTCGAACAGATGTTATCCTCTACGCGACTAAGTCATCGCGTATCAAAATATCGGAAATTATTTAAACACCAGAGCCTGGCGTGTCGTGTGTAATTGTAAACAGGATTAAACGACATTCGTGGCAGCGACCTAAACACGTACGAGCCTGCTTCTTAAAACGGATGAATAAATATATACGCTTGGAGATACGTACGTACGAGATCTCGCGAATAATAGATCTTTGGAATTTTAAAGAACTAATTACCTTCGATCTTAACGCGACAAGTTTTTGACTAGTGCTTGGGCCAAAGAGAGATATCTCGAAACGAAGTTTCTTTTAGAGAGAATTCGTGAAAATGTTGTAAATTCGTTTCTGAGAAAGTTGCAGGAGAAAAATACATATTAAGGAAGTAGAGATCAGAAACAGAGCGTAGTGGCCTCTGTTGTTTTTCCCCCTGAGTATTTTATTTGGAAATCTCGTTTGGAAGTTGCGCACACCTCTCTCCGGAAGCTGTCTAAGCAGATATCATTCCCGCTCTCAAGTATCGTCGCTCGAGATCGAGACTTCTTTTCTTTTTTTTTTTCGTTTCGCGTGTGCTCCATACAATACTATGCTCCGTCAAAAATAATATCGCGGTCACGCTGTCGGCCGGGAATCGCCAATGAAATAACCGAAGGAATCTACCCCTCATCAGAACCGTGAATTTTCACTCACTCGGTGGAAAAATATGTTGAACGTCCTCCTCTCCTTTCTTAAATAATATATTGATAATTACACTCTGACAATAATTATAATTAAAAATATATTAAATGTCCTCCTTTTTATTTTTGAACAACACGTCGGAAATATAATATAACAATTGACAATTAATATAATTAAAAGCCATCCGATTATCCAATTCTGATATTCGATCGATTCGTTGTCAATTAACCCGTGTCCTTTCACGTAGCTGCAGTAAACGCTTTTCGTCTTCTCGAATTTATCCGCTTTTAAGCCGTTTGCGCTTATTCAGCAACGAACGAGAGAGACAGGCTCATCTAGGCCGATATCGACAGCTCGATTGGCTACAATCGTTGACGAAAAATCTTTAGCGCAATTCGTTCGAAATCACGAATCGATGCAGATCGCATCGTTTTTTTTTAGGTTAGGTTACGAGTTATCAGTTCGTTTCAAATATACACGGGTTCCAATAACTTTGTCGTTTTCCTCACGTTTCTTCGTCTCTTCGTTGTATGCCTGTATTTTTATAGCTGCGAATGTGGAACGATCTATAAATATATTTTGAAGAGATAATCGTTACCGACTACAAACTAGTCACCGGCGTGAAATTGTAACACGCGTGTCCACGGATAATTCCGTGATCTTCGGGTGGAGGTTATTCATTAAGCCAAGTTTACACAGTGGGACGCATTGCTCTGCGGAAAGGGTAGATAAGCTGGTGTAATCGTCGACGATAGCATCTTCTGGAATGGCTCAATATAACTGGCGTCGACGAACACGAAAACGGAACGTTAAAAGCGATTAATATAATAAGTACAGATATATTTTTTCGTGTTTTTCGATATTTGCCTGTTAGGTAAATTAAAAAAATATATGTGTGACAAGATATAGAGAAGAGCAATGTATGTAAAATGTATAAAGCACAGAGGAAAGCAATACTTTACGGTTCATTAAATTAAACTCTTTCAAGTTAAAGTTTAAATTTTAACTAATTTAAATTTAAGTTAAACTTTTAAATTTCCATTAGAGGTAAATGAAAACCGTTGCAGCAGAATCAGGTACACAAATTTTCATTTATACACTTTACGAAAAATCATTTATCGAATTTGCTTTTTATTAAATCGTTAATTATTTATTTTTTATTAAAATACACTGTAAATGATTTTTCGTAAAATGTAATAAATAAAAGTTTATTCCTCACTGTATTGCGTATAAAGGTTTTTATTTACTTCTGATAGGAGTTTAATTACAAAACAGAAATCATAAATTGCTCATTTTTATAATTGGTGGTTCCGGTGTTTAACGCGCTCGATGTTTTTTTCGCCGCTTATTATATAAACTGCAGGGTTGCCTGTCGCAACTGTATTGTAAGTAGGGCATAAGGATGACCATTGCGTAATTCTCATGAAAGCGAAGTTATTTGCAGATTGTATCGTTTATTTCGACGGGCGATTTGAGGCCGTCGTAAATCTAACGAAACGCAAATACCTTGGCTCCGGTAACTTTTTAATTAGTCTTTTTTAAAAGTAGCTGTTTAAGCGAGCGACGAAAACAACGCGAGACAAGCTCGGAAAATTGTTAGCAAATGCCTACATCTATTTTCTTCCTTCTCGAAAACTTACTTTCTTATTTTTGTATGTATAGAGGGTGTCTCAATTATTTTGTCAATGATCATTTTTATTACATGACAACCACGTTTGTTTCTTCGTATTTTTTTTTTTTTTTTTTTTTTTTTTCATAAATTGATGCACATCTGTTTGGCGCGCGCCAAAGAGTGAGTCTCACGATAATTCCAATTCGAGGAGCGCATTCACAGTGGTGAGCAAGTGGAACGAAAATAAAACGAAATGGTAAAACGTACGTAAGGTGGATGTCGAAATTACTTTCCACTTTTAACGATGCGAGGCTCCATTGCTTTCTGGTGGTGGGCTAATGCTGTTATTACATGCCTCGCATAGTTCATGGTCTTTCTTTTGTCTCTCTTCTTTTTTTTTATTATTTCACTGGTTTCATAAGAAAACACGACACGCTTTTTATCATTAACCTTATAAAAATATTCTTCTGTTTAAATGTTAACCCTTTGAACTCGTACGTACATACGTCACGCTGGTAATTTGTAAACCTGCAGATTTATACTCTTAATGAATGAAAAAGTCATTACATTACATTAATTGTAAGAAATAAATTGTATTACAATTTATTTCTTACAAATGATGAATGAACTGTGTTGCAATTGCCAGAAATAAATAAATGAATGAAAAAAAACATCAATTCGCCCTTCTGAAATAAATACAAGTGGACAACAATATTGGAAACAAATCGAGTTCAAAGGGTCGAAAGCATCAGCTACTATTTCAGACGTCTCGTTCCCAATACGTCATGATCGAGAAAAGAGCGAGAGTATCGCGATTTATATCTGAAAACGACTCTGAAAGAAAAGAAAAACTGTGGAACTTTCTTTCTTTCTTTCTTTCTTTCTTTCTTTCTTTCTTTCTTTTCGACTTCTTTTCTTTCTCTCAACTGGCCACGCTGACTATAAACGATACTTGTTCAATGTTTACGCCAGACGGGAATAATTCACTTCGTCTGCCAAGAAAAACGGCCCTTTCCCCCTCTTTAAGCCACTGTGGGAGCATTTCTTCAATGAACAGACAAACCTTTTCTACTCACAATGAGTCTTTTCTCTCCGCAGCGTCACGTCTCGACGCTAATTGCTGATTTCTCATATGTGATTTGATTTAACGTCATACCTAAACAATGAATTTCGCTTTCGCGAGCATTCGTCTCGCCATTTCTTTCAATTTTACGATTTGGCCTGTCGTGGTTTGTTCTTTCATCGTGCGAAATTTACTTTTGAGGTTGACTTAACTTTAAGCTCGCTTTTAGGTTAGGTTAGGTTTTAGATTTAAATTTCTCAATAGGAATCGACGAGCTTTCTTTTAATTAAAGATTAAAGTATTTAGTATTTTATTTAGCAGTATAGTTTATTTTAGTATTTTATTTTGTTGAGATATTTTCAGTCGATTAATTATCATTTAGAGCAGCGGTTCCCAATTTCTTTTCTCTCCATTGATCAGTCTTTTTTACCCTAACCTCATAAATTTTCAGATAAGTCTCTCTTTGTAAATCAAAACTCTGCAACTTTGTTTTCCATTTTAACTCCTTTTTTTTTTGGCGTTTTCTGCCACTATCAATATTATTTTCGCGCACCCCTAGAGGTACGTGTATCACAGGTTTGGGAACCACTGATCTAGGGAGAAAGAGAAACAGACAAATATTCACCAGACACTTGCGCGAAAAGAAATTTTTAATTTAAATAATTTCCCACATTTCTGTATGCCGGAGGAATGATAAAATTTCAATTCGTCCAGAATGAATTACGATCAGCGAGTTTGGCAAACAGCGTGCAGTATGAGGAATCGCGATACACGGTGAAACTCTTCTTGCCAGATTGAACGTGCCAACCATTGTAAATCATCGTCTCGAGCATCGTTCTCCCTTGCAGAAGAACAACAAATTTAAACGGAGCGAATGGCGTTGGTGAGAAGCGTGTAAAAGAAAAAAGGATACTCAGTCTTATCAGAAAAAAAAAAGAAAAGAAAAATACGAAGCACTCGTTTACATTAACTAAACGTAACAAGTAACAGATATAGTGAAGGAAACGACGATACGCAGTTCGTTCAAGCGAAGTATGTAAATGTTTAGACTGATTGTGAGTTTCATTTCTATCGGAGTGCTTGCTCCAAGTGACAGCGATCGTGTCAATTCGATTTATATATTAGGCATTTAGGTACAAGTATAAAATACATATTAGGTATTTGATAGTGAAGATCAAGTGCAGAGACACTGAAACACTTTTCGTTGAAGATTGTTTGAGAGACACGACGTTTGAAAGTAAGCTCGATCGGGGGTCATCGTGTTGTGCACGTGTGCGCGCCACGAGAACACGGCCCACGCGTGGCAATTTACCACGACGCGACGCTCTTTCCGTCCCACGTTTCTTCCTCATCTCTCCCACAATGACCGTACTTTCCATAAATTAATTAT